ACTGTGCTTTGTGACTGCACCTTATTGGGAGACATTTGGAGGTGTAAACATGAAACTTACATATACCGCCCACAACGCCAGCGAGCCGGCACAGCAGACGGTACCACCAAGTCATGCCATCATCCTGGGAGGTTGTGGAGTTCTCCTGTGCCGCAGCGTCTGGCTCCACCGTACTCATCCTGGAGTCACAGGAAAGGCTTGGAGTAATGTTCTACGCACTCCTGTGCTCTGCGCCCCACAGCTTCACCCGTCCGTGTGTGCGAGTCACGTCTTCTGTCAGGGGAATCTCCACATACTGTCTGTATATAAAAAGAAAAGTCTTCTGTTATTACAGCATCAGATATACGTTTTCATGATTACTGCATGCATGCTACATTATCTCTCACAGAGATCACGGTGCTCCCCCTGACAATGCCTCCATCTGATTTTCTCCCCAGAAGGACAGCACCAGTGTTGTTCAGGCATCAGTCAGAGTCATCATCTACTCACTGGACTGAGATGCGAGATCAGAGAGAACACAGCCATGTAAATCCTGCCAGCTGTGAAGTTCTTGTCTGTGTTTACAAATGTCCAAGGCTGGGCACACACCTCACAACCATTGCCAGACTTTTGTCCTTTGATGGTTGTAAGGTACTTAAAAAAACATACGATCTGCCCATCTTGGACAGGCAGATCGTACTTGCGATGATCGCAAGCTGCGCCCCCCTGTGGGGCGGGCTTCCGATGACCGCAATGCCGAACAGGCAGTGTGCGCTTGCGCACACCGGCCTGTCCGGCTTTTATCTTACGACAGATAAGCCTAACACAGATAAGCCCCCGCTGCAGCATCTCACCTTGTGACTTACTGCAAAGTTACAGTGGACAGTCTGAGTGATCACTGCGTGATAGGAGAGTGAGAAATGCTTCTCCCTGCCTGCAGCAGACTGGTGGCATCTCAGCCTAGGCTACGTTTCCTGACTGAAGCTGAAAGATCAACCCACAGGCTTGTGTGAACCGAGTTCACCTAAGCCTGTGCAAAACAATCAGTGAGACATTCCCCTCCTGGCCCAATCAGCTACGGTCAGGGCATACCATACTCCACAGTTACACGTTGCAAGGGGTGGGGAATGCCCTGGCCGCTACTGATTGAGCCAGGAGGGGGATGTGCCACTGACAGTTTTGCACAGGCTTAGGTAAACTTGGTTCATACCAAGTCCCCACACATCCCTAGTGATCACTGGAATGCCTCCTCCTGCCTGCAGCAGAATAGTGACATCATCTCGGCCTCGGTGAAGTTACCTGACTGGCTCTCACCAGCGGCTTTTAGAGATAAAAGATGCCAATTCATTTCAAAATGACACGACTGCTGTATATTGCGATGTCAGGAAGTTCTCCATGCAGTATGACATTTCTAAAAGGTTCTCTTTACTGAAGACAGCCAGGAACAAGAATTCTTATAGGAATTCTGTGATGGGACAAATATTATTATTACATAGTATTTATATAGCGCCAAGACTTTGTGCAGCGCTTTACAAATATAGACATCCCCATTAGTGATCTCCTGAAAATGACATTTTCCTGGCTGTCATACTAATCCAACGGCTTCATTGCATTCACATCTAAGTGATGGGCCATTGCAGGTTGACTGCGGCGTGCATTGTGGTAAGTCAAGCAATTCATCTAAATCCCAGTATAAGTAATGAAGGATCCTTTTATTGATATCGCATCACAACGCCCGGTAATAAGGCATAACGGTACCACAGAGTACACAACAGTGTAACATACGATCTTGTGTGGTGCAGAAATACACATCACTGAGGTGTGAACACATCCTGAGTCAATAACTCCAAAGTATACAGGTCAGGATTTCTGATTTTACTAGCTGCATGCTTGCTCGGAGTCAGCGACTGCAAGGCATCCAGACGTTTAAGGAGGTCAGCAATGACGGCCCCCAGATTTTATTACAGAATTCCTTCAAGAAGGTAGAAAAATAATGTAAATGAGCGGATCAACAATGTATGTCAATCCCGACATATCAGGTGACTAAGTCATGTGATCCAAGACAGCCAAGTGTCAGCCAGGTAGAGGAGGCGGCCTAGAACATCACAACTACTGAATATAAACCGGGTATAGAGACTTACAGGACAGACACACACACACACCAATCATATATAAGCCATATATAAAGATGTGTAGTACACACAATATATAACATCCTATATTTACATAATACACATCATTATAAAGACTTAATGGGGGGTGTAAATGACACATAAAAGGGGTACACAGTATATAACAGGGGGATGTAAATGACACATAAAGGGGTATACAGTATATAACAGGGGGGATGTAAATGACACATAAAAGGGGTATACAGTATATAACAGGGGGATGTAAATGACACATAAAGGGGTATACAGTATATAACAGGGGGGATGTAAATGACACATAAAAGGGGTATACAATATATAACAGGGAGATGTAAATGACACATAGAGGGGTATACAGTATATAACAGGGGCATATAAATGACACATAAAGGGGTATACGGTACACAATATATAACAGGGGGATATAAATGACACATAGAGGGGTTTACAGTACACAATATATAACAGGGGGATGTAAATGACACATAGAGGGGTACACAGTACACAATATATAACAGGGGGATATAAATGACACATAAAAGGGGTATACAGTACACAATATATAACAGGGGGATATAAATGACACATAAAGGGGTATACAGTACACAATATATAACAGGGGGATGTAAATGACGCAAAAGGAGTATATACAGTACACAATATATAACAGGGGGATATAAATGACACATAAAGGGGTATACAGTACACAATATATACCAGGGGGATGTAAATGACATATAAAGGAGTATATACAGTACACAATATATAACAGCCGTAGATAACATACATATATAAAGTGTAAAGGGGGTGTATAGGGTACATATTATACTGTATATGGAGTTATAGAGTATACAATATATAACAACAACCATATGTGAATCACAAATAAAGTGTATATGGAGAGTGATGGGGCACACGGTATATAAAGTGTATATAAGAGAGATGACATTGTAGCCAGCAGCCGATGAATACATTGTATCAGTATATACAGAAGATCGGAGCGCTGTCTGCTGAACACAATTCCTATAACACCGGATGTGCTGACACTGCTGAGCACAATGAAGACCAGAACCGCACACACTCTCCACTTATAACAGATCAGGACACAGAAGGACAAATCCCGCGTTTCCTTACCTCCCCGGACCGGGATGACAATAGTTCCCCAGACACACGTCACTGTCTGCCGCGCTGCATGCTGGAAGGGAACCCACTGCCTGTGGGGTGGGGACACTCCGTGACGTCACGCACAGACACAGCTGATACAAGGGATCCAGCTCACTTCCGGCCACCTATTAACCCCTTCACACCCCAGGTAATAGTATCAACGTTTATTTGTAGCCATGTGACTATAATTTTACATTGTAATATGAAGATGAGGAGCTTTATCCGGGGGTTTTAGCTTGGAATAGAGCCCAATGTGTTATACTGTATAGGAGTGTCTTATCTAGTCTCTAAATATATTATATTGTATAGGAGTGTCTTATCTACTCTCTAAATGTATCATAATGTATAGGAGTGTCTTATCTACTCTCTAAATATATTATATTGTATAGGAGTGTCTTATCTACTCTCTAAATATATTTGATTGTATAGGAGTGTCTTATCTACTCTCTAAATGTATTATATTGTATATGAGTATCTTATCTATTCTCTAAATGTGTTATATTGTATAGGAGTGTCTTATCTACTCTCCAAATATATTATATTGTATAGGAGTGTCTTATCTACTCTCTAAATATATTATATTGTATAGGAGTGTCTTATCTACTCTCTAAATATATTATATTGTATAGGAGTATCTTATCTATTCTCTAAATGTATTATATTGTATAGGAGTATCTTATCTATTCTCTAAATATATTATATTGTATAGGAGTGTCTTATCTACTCTCTAAATATATTATATTGTATAGGAGTGTCTTATCTACTCTCTAAATATATTATATTGTATAGGAGTGTCTTATCTACTCTCTAAATATATTATATTGTATAGGAGTGTCTTATCTACTCTCTAAATATATTATATTGTATAGGAGTGTCTTATCTACTCTCTAAATATATTATATTGTATAGGAGTGTCTTATCTACTCTCTAAATATATTATATTGTATAGGAGTGTCTTATCTACTCTCTAAATATATTATATTGTATAGGAGTGTCTTATCTACTCTCTAAATATATTATATTGTATAGGAGTGTCTTATCTACTCTCTAAATATATTATATTGTATAGGAGTGTCTTATCTACTCTCTAAATATATTATATTGTATAGGAGTGTCTTATCTACTCTCTAAATATATTATATTGTATAGGAGTGTCTTATCTACTCTCTAAATATATTATATTGTATAGGAGTGTCTTATCTACTCTCTAAATATATTATATTGTATAGGAGTGTCTTATCTACTCTCTAAATATATTATATTGTATAGGAGTGTCTTATCTACTCTCTAAATATATTATATTGTATAGGAGTGTCTTATCTACTCTCTAAATATATTATATTGTATAGGAGTGTCTTATCTACTCTCTAAATATATTATATTGTATAGGAGTGTCTTATCTACTCTCTAAATATATTATATTGTATAGGAGTATCTTATCTATTCTCTAAATGTATTATATTGTATAGGAGTATCTTATCTACTCTCTAAATATATTATATTGTATAGGAGTGTCTTATCTACTCTCCAAATATATTATATTGTATAGGAGTGTCTTATCTACTCTCTAAATATATTATATTGTATAGGAGTGTCTTATCTACTCTCTAAATATATTATATTGTATAGGAGTGTCTTATCTACTCTCTAAATATATTATATTGTATAGGAGTGTCTTATCTACTCTCTAAATATATTATATTGTATAGGAGTGTCTTATCTACTCTCTAAATATATTATATTGTATATGAGTGTCCTATCTACTCTCTAAATGTATTATATTGTATAGGAGTGTCAGATCTACTCTCTAAATGTATTATATTGTATAGGAGTGTCAGATCTACTCTCTAAATGTATACACTTGTACAGGAATTACACATTTACTCTCTAAATATGATGTATTATACAGGAGTATTATATCTAATCTCCACAAACATTACACAAGACTGTAATATTGTTTTATTTTTTTATTAAATCCTAAAAGGCTCTTTACACAGAGTGAGATGACACAGGAGATCAGGTGATGTGGGAGCTGGTTACTGGTTGGTGGACTGAAGAGATGACATCATAGTTCATGTGTCTGGAGCGATGGCTCATCGATGACTCAGACTCTCTCTGTACAAGTCTTGGTTTCAGCTTTACCAGTAATTGTTCAGATAAGAAAACACAAGAAACACCTCTCTCTGTTCTGTGCTGTCTTTGTCTCCAAATAGTTTTGCTCAAATAGTTTTATTTGCTCAAATAGTTTTACTACAAACAGTGTAAGATAAGATTCATACAAATATATTGAGAGAGACGCGCATGTGTCACATGACCAAGAAGAATATGATAAGCAATTTATAATGTCCATGTCTAAGGAAAGTTGAATTCTTCCAGAAAAGTGTTTTTGGCAATGGTTACATTTGCTGCCATAGAAATATAGAGACGGTTTCAGAAGACAACATTTCAAGCATCTCTATAGTGAGAAAGTACGGAGGCAGCCATTGCTGACTTCTCCTCTTGAAAATGCTAATGCCTGGCTGTCACTGTTATCCAATGATTTTACTACTTTCTGAGGCACAGCGGTTGATATACTAAAGGCAAAATGGCTGTTCACTTTGCAAGGGAATTTTCCCTTAGCTTAGTGAATATTCGCAGATTCCTGACACAATCGCTGGATCTGACCACATTGTACCTTACAATTATCTGGAGAGTTTTGTCTGGGATTGCGTTTTTGTCCCAAAATCTGCCAGTTGATGGGAAGTGCACAACCTAAATTATTGTTCAACTGTCCTCTCAATCGATGAAAATCAGCCAGTTAGTGGTGCTGATGAACGTTAATTGCGAACTTGGTCTGTGCATGATGGTGTATGGCCACCTTAACCCTCCAAATTCATGATGGATATGAACAGAAGCAGATGGGAATGAATAATTAAGCCTTCAATGTACATTGGCAGTGCGGCACATGTGCGTCAGACAATTAAGGCACATCTCCATAGGTAATAGCTGGTTAAGGGTCCATTCACACCGCATCCAGATCATCTCCAGACCAGACCAGATTGTTTCCGGACTCAAAATGCATCCCAATGTATCCCTATGTTATTTCTGGCCTCTGTTCACACCAACGCAGTCTGTTCCAGACCAGACAAATACTGCATGTCTCATTTTGTCTGTTCTGGAATGCACTGGAACCGCGGGCAGTTTCACACCATTTTCCGGACAAGATTTGGTCTGGAAAATGGTGGGAACCTGTCCTAAGGGCCCATTCACACCACATCCAGATTACCTCCAGACCAGACCAGACCAGACTGTTTCTGGACCCAAAATGCATCCCAATGTATCCCAATGCTATTTCTGGCCTCTGTTCCCACCAGCGCAGTACGTTCCTGACCAGAAAAATACTGCTTGTCCTATTTTGTCTGGTCTGGAATGCACTGGAACGCATCAAAAACGCATGGAACGTACCTATAAGACCATTTTAAGCTTAAAAAAAAAAAGTGGCAAAAATGCAATGCACTATGTTCCAGATCTGGTCCAGATCGGGTCTGGAAAATGGTGTGACCCCGGCATAAATCAGTTATTTGTTGGTTGACAGTGGGAAATGCGGAATATATTATTGGTTATAAGTGCAGTGAATATTAGCATGTTGTGAATTTTCCAGAGGAGAAAATTATCGGTGTTGAGGAATGTCAGTAAATGTTGCTGGGTTAGGGGAACAGAGACTTTTTTTTATATATATGTGAGGAATTATATAAGAGCAGGAACCTGGAGAAAAAGGCAGCAAATTGTCAGAACGTTTGATATAAAACCTGTATGAAATTAAAGAGATCATGTCACCAAGTTAATCTCAAACTTAAACAACTCTTGCCTGGAAACTTTACAGCTAGAAAAGTAAATAAAGTGTGTAGACTAGCTTGGCAGAAGACAATGGAACACACCTGAGATGTTTGCCATGTACTCCTAGGACTATTTTGTCTCTGAGAAGTAAACCGTTTATTTACTAGGCCCGCAGGCCTTGAATAATGTCTTTGTCTAAATTGTAACTTAACACGCTAGTTGAACTTTGTTTAATTATATGACATGATTATTGGGACAGATGTCCCAAAAAGTGACCTGATAGAAATCTTCAGACAAACAGGATCACTAAGTAAATGAAAATGTTTTATATAATTATAAGACCTTCTGGGTATCAAAAGACCTCAAGGACCAAAGAGAAGAATACCAATAAACTTTGTATATATTCTCTTCTATCATTAAAGGAGAAAAAAGTCTGTTTGTTAGAAATTGGCATACAAGTATCTTTACAGAATTTGTTATATCAATCAACCACCTAAACTAATCAGATATCTAGATGTGTGCATTCAAATCTAGAAAAATTTCATATTAGTGACAAGTAATTGATTTTACAACTTATGGGAAGGTTGTTATTGTTTATTTTGTATCGTACTATAATGTTCTTATGTCGATAAGTTTAATGAATTATCATGAATGATTCAACTTACCACCACCAATTAAAATAAGGGTAATAATCTTTATTATTAAATTATTAAATCAAGTATAATTATCACTGAGGAATATAATATTGATAGGATATGGCACAGTTACAAATCATAACTTATACCTCATATTCATATGCCTCTCAATATATCTATGTTTAATGTCTGTATGGGTATAAAATGTTTTACTATAGCACATAAGAGAGGGTATGATAATTAACATTATCCTGATACGCTACACACTTTATATATAAATCAATTTCTCTCCCTAATTATTTCAGAAAAGGTAAAATCAGGATTGACAGTACCAGAGCCCCACCCTCATGGCAGGTAACATTATTGCTTGTGCAAACACCTGGTTGATGAATAAGTAAACCTACCAATCATATGCTAGTAGCAGCCCTCAGGAACTCCCATAGGCAGTTCTTAAGACAAGGGAAAAATCTAGCATAAATAAGGTATGAGAAATGGAGGAGGGAGGTTCCTATCTCTCCGGATGGAGGGGATCCCGCTTGTACCATCAACTCTCTATATCATCACATTATAAGAATATTTCAGTATCGTATCTCTGCTCAACTTTGAATTGTGGTGGTAATGTATCATTTTTCCTACTAAAATAAATATTAATGTTGTCTAATTTTTCCTTGAATGCCCATTTAATTTAAAAGGATCTAAGTGAATAACTGTTTCCATTGAAACTTAAGGTTAGCAGCCAGTCCTTAACTTCTTCCCACAGGAGAAGATTTGGACATTGTTACTTCGGAATATTGTTAATTCCATTTCTAGTCTTTCGCTTGTCTCCTCAATGATACTGAACCAATATGAATCTCGCCACTGTTTTCCCTATTAATGAATAGATGTAGGTGGTGTAGGCTTGATCTCAGAAAGAGTTGTTACATGATTGTATTTAAATACCTGCCTAATAGGTGTTTCATTTGTGCTATTGGAATATTAGAATTATTATTCTTTTTGTAACTTTGATTGATTACATAGATTGATGTTTTATTGAGACAAAGAAAATAACTGTACTTGATGGTATTATTAAATTCAGTATTAGTAATCATCACGGAGTCTGTTATCTTCAATTTAACCTTACTAGGTTCATAGTACCTCCTACTCTAAAAGAACTCAGGTACTTGTTTGTCATATGGGTTTTGTTTATTATTATTGATTATAAAGAGGAATGTTATTATGTGTGAAACATTCCTAGATACATTGTTGTCATTTTACTGACAACTGGAGGCACTATTATTGATATATTTTTTTTATATCCCTAGCATTTATTTTAGGGAAACGGATTGCTGAAAAATTGATTATTAGTTTAAAACCCACTGACATTATCGTGACAAAATGAGCGACATATTGATCATCCTCCCTCCTTACCACCTTGTCTTGAATTGTATTGTGATTGTAATGTCTTCCTTATATTGTAAAGTGCTGCGCAAACTGTTAGCGCTATATAAATCCTGTATAATAATAATATAATAATAATATTGATCAATCGAAGCTTTATATCTATGCACCACAGATGAGTATGGCTGAACCAGGATATAAAATGACGACAGATCTGCTCCCACAGTGAAGTTAATCCTGAACACGTTCCACCATTAGTCTGCATTATAAAGTGAGATGGGACTATGTACAAGGTAACAAGACCTCTGACATCTCTAACCATACAGAGCCTGTTTTTCCCCACTCAGCTAATGGCCGCCCTAAAAATTTTGTTGGAAGAAGCCATGATGGTAGGTTGGTTCAGACAACAGACTCTCCATTCTGGGTTGGCTTCCCCCTCTCCTTCGCCCAGTACTGCGCCCGGAAACTGACTCTGTCCTGTGAGAAGTCACCGTTGAATTCAACCTCTGCCCGGCTCCCTGTGGACTCCCAGTAGAACAAATGATTTCCATGGAATGCGGTGGACTTCATTGATTTCATGTCCCAGATCTGAAGCGGAGAACACACACAGATGAACATGTAAATACAGAGGCAGGGAAGGCAGAAAATTGTCAAAGTGATATGTTGCAGTGGATAAAATATAAAAAAATACAAAAATCCATTCAGGTATTATGACAGATAAAATGCTGAAAATGGCTATAGATATCTATATATATCTATATATAGATATATATAGATATATATAGATATATATAGAGGGAGAGAGAGAGAGACTGGAGACACATGCTCTGTGTGTTGGGCACTAATGATGCCCATGTGTCTGCGCCTCTCACAATGGAAATCTGTCATTGTCTGGTAGCTGTATGATGGAACAGGATCCTGTAATTTGGCCATGGCATTTGGACAGAACTATAAAGTCTGGTGAGAAACCTCATCACCGGGGCTACCAAGATACATATGTCATGTGATTCTACTTGCCAAAAACCATGGAAAAGTTACATATCTGTTGTGGGCTGTTGTTGAGTCCCATTAAGCCCTGCACAGGCAGCGTGACTACATACTTACCAGGATGTAATCTGACTGTGTCTTATTGGTCCCTTTCTCAAGGTCCATATACAAGGCATGGACTGCAATGGTAAACTTGGGAGGCACGTCAATAAAGATACGACAAGCAGGGGAGTCCGACCCGGACTGTGACTGTATGGGATTTCGTATGTCTCCCTGCATCCCGAACAGCTGCACATCACAGTCTACAGGAAGAAAGGAGAGTTATGTCATACAGCAGAATCCTCATGTTATCTATACATCATCCAATGTCCACATACACTGTATGCAAGTTAAAATGAGAAGTATAAACTTTTTTGGGGGGTCACCGGAGTACATTTATTCATTTACTGTTCTTTCCCAAAGTCAATGGATAGCATGCCAATGTCCTCTATCTACTGACAGCGCAGAGCCACACCAAAGCCAGGAAGATTCCTGAGAATTTTGTTGGGACCCACCCAGGTGCCTGATGGACAGCTGGCTCTGCCTCTCTAGACCCAAAGCCATCTGTGCCCGCCCCCTTCCATGTCTGTCCCTCCAATGAGCACTGGAGGAACAGAGAGAGGGGAGTGGGGAATCCCTGCAGGGCGCAGAGACTGACAGTCACCGCTCTCTGCAGGGAGGAGATCATGAGCTGAGTGATCAGAGGTTACATGATCACTCAGCTCTCGGTATATTGACCTGGCGTGTGGCAGCTGCAGTATTGGCAAGAGTATATTTTACTCCTCACTGCCCCACTCCCTGCACTTCTCCTACTAATCAGTCAGTGATTAGTGCAACTGCACCAAAACCCAAATATCTGCTCAGTTTTATACTGTGCTCTACAACCTCTCTGACCTGTGTAGTCGTAATGTTTACACATTGATTGCACAAAATTACGGCTCTGTGGAAGACTGCAGAATGCGCATTAGACACAAGTAGGTGTGCTTACTGTGGAACAAGCGATGACAACAGTGTATTTTGCATGCTACTTATGAAGCAGTAAACATATAGGAAATCTTTCACACAAACACGTAAGCCACCATTTACAGTAATTCAGCAAAGCTGGATGCCTGTCTTTACACAAGCAAGAGGATCCGCATGACAGCCAGGCACTTTTCAGAAGCAGGTCAGCAATGGCAGCTTCCATATGTCTCGTTTAAAGTGCATTATGGTCTGAAGAAAACAATATTGGTGTACCTTGGTGATAGCTTTGAGTGGCCGGTTTAGTTGAATACTCCAGAGCAATTCCATTACCGGGGTGAACTTGGCGCTGTCTCACGATCACTGTGTTCGATCGCGTTACCACTGTGACTGCTGAGATACGGGTACACGCCTTTCTCCACATAGCTCTGCCATAGAACAATACTAGCTCACCTGCAAAGGAAGTAATTCAATCAGTGAAAAATAAACCTCAGAATTTGCAGAAGTCCCTAGTGTCACGCCTGTATGGAATGGGTTAGCGTGGATCTCAGCTGCGGAGGCTTCTCAGGTATGGACCCCTGGTTTCACTCTCAAGTTAAACAGAGAGTTAGGGATCCTAGCATCACAGCCTCAAGTTAAATAATAAGGTGGGGTTGGAGAGGGTTAAATCCTAAGCGAACAAATCAATAATCTGAGTACGGTTAATGAGTAAGGAGTTTAGCAGAACTTAGATGGCAATACAGTTATTTGGTATGGGTCCAGTTCCCCGTAGTATTAAGGCTTGAAATTGTAAGTTGTAAATCAAACAGTCCTGATGACAACAGGTGCAACTGCACATAGAATACTTGCTCTTTGGAGGGTTTGGCTATGGAGGTACAGGGGGTCCTTGGTGGATTCAGACTCGCAGGAGGGAGGAATCTGGAGGTTCGTGGAGGGTCCCAGGAGACAGCAGGCGTTCTGGCACAATCTTGGAACGCCATGCTGTCTCTTCTGGGCGTTTAAATAGGCCTTAGAGGAGAAGGAGGAGCCGACGTACGCAGCGGCACACTTCCGCTTTCCACGGTGGAACGCACGCCCCTCACTTCCGGGTTTCGGGACCTCGTGCGTTCCACCGTGGAACGCAATCGGCCCAGCGACTGAGCGGCTGGCTGCCGCTTCCGCCCTCCTTGCCCGCAGCTGACGGCGACGGCCGTTACACCTAGGCACATAGCGACTCTCTGAAAGTCAATATTTGCATTGGCTTGGACAACACCCTCCTCCTCCTCCTTCCCATTTCATAGTGCTTTGACCTGCCTAAGGGGAAGAGGGCCCTGTGCCTACCCTGAGAAGTCTAAACGTTTCCACAGGGTCTGTTAAAGATATTATTTGGCATCTTATGGTCTATACTAAACACTGGGGGGTTAATATATCAGTTTTTTTTCCTTTTTGTCAGGGTAAAGATTTACTTAATCTTAGTCCTGTATAATTAATTTCAGCCAGCACTTTCCATATTACTTCTTAGCAGGACTGCATTCTCTGCACATGATTCTTTTTTGGTTGACTTTAATTTTAGTGTTTTGAAAAATGGCTGCTCTTCAGTAACAACCTGGCCTGTGGTATTCACACTGTACACAGGGCTGCACTCTTATTGACTAACATTGTGACCTGTGTACATAGCATGGATGGTATAGGTAGCAGTGTCAAGTAAGTGGCAGTGGCATCCAGCTATGCTCATTGTGGTAGTGCACCGTTTATGTCAAACGGTTGACACTAATGGAGCCGGAATATCTCACTTTTGTATAAAGAAAGGTCATTGCTGAGACAACAAAATATATGGAGGATTCAAGACCGAAAACACCCACCAGCTGAGCAGTTAAGGGAGCTGGACAGAATCTTGATGACAATAATCTCTCCCAGCGGCCGTCCTATTGAGAACATACAATCGTTTTCCAGAATCCCGGAGGTGTTGATTATTGCAGAAGCATTCAGGAAGAGCCGTCCACACACACCTGGAGGAGGTCAGAATAAAATAAGGGCAGTTATTATCTTTCATTTTGCTGATTCCTTCCCTCTTCAAATCTATCAGGCTTCTCACTTATTGAAAGCTACATATTATGTAGCTGACTGATCTTATCTCAGTGGCGCTTTAGCTGGGCTGCTGACTGTATTGTTTGATATACACATAGCCACAAGAGGAAGAAACTCTAAATTCATATGTGATATAGTGTCACTTTTAGATAAAGTGTTGCTGAGAGTTGTAGTCCTCTATAGCCATTACCATTCTGCATTTCTGTATAAAGTGTAGCTGTGAGTTGCATTCCTCTATTGCTGGTGCCATTCTGCATTTTTGGATACACTTTCCTTTATGTTTACATTGCTTTATGTTAATATTGTTAAAGTTGTTGTTAATATTTATTTTTGTAACTTTATTCTGAATAAAACATTTAAAAGTGTCATTTCATAAGATAATTTAAGAGGGTGTGTTTAGGGGCAGAGTTTAGGCCGGGGCAGGGTAGGGGTTAGGTGGGGCAACTGATGGTGAGTAACTCTTAAGGCCTGTACAAGATGCATTAAAAATTACTTCTGGGGAAATGCTACACTAATAATGCAGAATATGTACTCATTAAAGCATGCCACAGTTTCCCCTCAATGAAGGAGCATATCTGAGCATCATCAGTGAATATGAGTATACAAGGAACATCAAGCATTCTGGACACTGACTGTTTCCAGCATGCTGGAAAATGTCTACAAATAGCTATCCCATCGCTCCTCTCTTTTCAACATGCATGACATTTGCACAGGTAAAACTGTCAGCAGATTTGTGTGTGCAGAATGTATCTATTTCCTGTGCTCCTCAGCTCCATCTAGTGACCATAATGCAGTATTAACAGTATTACATTATGTTATATTCAACCTGAAAAGAAAATATTCTAAGAATTAGGGTTGCACCGAAATTTCGGCTGCTGAAACATATCGGCCAAAAATAGCACTTTTGGCAGAATGCCGAAAGTGCCATCTTTCGGCCAAAACAGTGGTGCATCCCTGCATTCTCTCCTCCCCGCTGGGCGCTGCTCTGTGTCCCAGCGGGGAAGGAATAAAGTATCACAGGAAGCCGAGCGGTGTCTCTTCTCCCGCACTGCTCAGCCTCCTGTGACAGATTAGGAGAACAGTGGCCCCTTCCATGCTGTTTAGCGTACATGGGGGAATTGAGTAAGCATACCCAACTTTTCTAAGACTTTGCTGTAAATAATATTTTCCTATTTTAATAATTTAGTTGTTGGCCTCGGAAAACTCTCCAAAACTCCCTTTACAATGTGGTCCTCAAATCTCGACACCATATTGCACCTGTGGCCTTAGAAGTGATTTATACAGAGGCAATACCATATGAGCATCAGGTGGTTTTAACTCCCTTTTTATACATCCCAAGATTTTATTTGCTTTTGCAGCTGCTGCCATTTGGCATTCAGGAGGTGATGAAGGTGACGTCTATATATCTACCATTTTTGTCTCCTGTACCATCCACCGTGGCTGGCCCGCCAGTCCTGTCTGGTGCTATAATGCTGACAAAGGGTATAGCTCTATAATGAGGTTTCTGCTGATCCGGGACAACAGAGGTCTGCAGTGTTCTCATTAACATATGGGCTGCATCCGGTTGGGCGGTCTGTGTATCCTGCAGGCATGGCTTTTCAGAACAGCCACGTAGCGTGATGGGTTTTGGCGTGTGTCCACAGAGCGCGGGGCTTACATGTTGGTGGGTTTTTGAGTTGATGCAGAATTCTTCCCGCTGTTGAACCCCATTACCACAGGTGACTGAACACTAAAAGAGAAAGACATCTCAGTTACTCAGATATTACTGCTATCTTGCCAACCAACATGTCAGTTTTTTGAGATGGGACACCTATTACCATTAAAATATTTAAGGAAAAGACACACCCTTGATGCTTGGAGACCGGCAAGAAATAGGGCAGCTTTTACTGAAATATTCAACTTCAATGCAGAGATTTCCCCAGCACTACATTTTTTCTGCCACTGGATGTGCTCGGTCTGATGACTGGTGTCTTTCAACCCACTTCCTTTGAGCCCATGTAATCCTGGACCAGCCCCAGCCTGTGACTTGACAGTGAACAGAGAAGCAGCACATGGATGAGCTCATCTCTCTGTCACTCTGCTCTCTCTTGCTATCAGCTTTACTCTTGTCAGCAAATTAACTGATTGGCTCCCTATACTGCTTTTTCCTCATGCACTCTGAGCTCTACTATACAGGGACTGCAAGGTGCCTGATACCAGGTCAAATTTAGGTACTTACACTGCTTGCTTTTAAAAACCCATGTGATTATGTATTAATGCTGCATGCATTTGTAGACCGTTAATATCTAACTAGAGTTCAGCTTTAAGAGGCCATCTGAGCACTGCCTACTACAAGCTATATTTGTCCGTTATGCTGAGAGCAAGTTTTCTGGCATTCAGGCAACTGGCATTTCCCGAAGAAAGTGGCAGCCTCTTATTTCACCCATGACAAGTTTATTTAAAAAAGGTCACCATAGCTTTCCAATTTGAAGTAAGGTAGGAAAAATAAGTTTGACATATTTTAAATGAATCAATTAAAAGGACTAAATCCATGGCTTGTGCACATTACCTGTGTCCAGGGCCGCACATCCCAAGTGTAGAAGCATTGGGTAATAAAGCACGGGATGACAGACAGGGGCCTTTCATGGGATGGACAAGATCCAGAGTCTTGCTCCGTATCGTTGCCAGCCACTGTCTGCACACATATCACCTTCTGCCTGGATATGCCATAGCCACAACCAGCAGAGCATGGAGTGCTCTCTACCACTCGCCACCTAGAGGACAAAAAGAAGAAGGCAGCTTATCAGAAATTGTTCTATCAACCTAAAAACTATCACCAGCACCACTAAGCAGATGGTACTGCTTTTCTCATTCAAATTCTTTTCAGGGCATCAAGAAGAGTATTAGGCATCCAGCAGCAGTGTACTTTTAATCTTTTTTTTAAGTAGCTTGTATGCATAGTACAGCAGCAGTGTACAAAAATGAACAATATATAATTCCACAATGTGAAAAACCACAGGTAGATTCTGTTAATCATTTATATCTGTGGAGACCAATTGTACAGAAGCATCTCTATATTATTTTTTTTGCAGATATAATCGTATGCATCATCTCATATCAATATAGATTTGATGCAAGTAAATCATGGTGTTCTAATTATTGCTAGTAATTGTATATGTTATCTGATCTTAACACCTTCAAGGCAGGTTTGTAGTAGGATAACAGTCATATTCTTGTGGTTGTATACGAACAGACCGCACTATCCAGAGAATTCCAATACTGCAGACTTTATTAAAATTCACAGCAAATCCAGTATATCAGTGAAAACGTGCATAAAGCTACAAATGCCAGCACTGCACACCCCCAACCAACTACAACCGCTCACATGTTTCACCCGAAGGCTTATTCATAGAGGTCATAGAGATATTCTTGTGGTTACTAGTCTTGGAATATGGTATATGGGTAGAGAAGTGTTGAGGAATCACAGAAGAAAGAAGAGTAGTTACAGATGAGAAACGGGCATGGTAGAAGAGGGAGATGTATGGAAAATGTAGAAAAAAAAAAGGAGTATACATTTTGACCTCAAAGATATAAAAAATCTGCAGAGGACCTAAAGTGCACCCATGTTGACCATGTAAAGCAGGGGTAGTCAAACTACGGCCCTCCAGCTGTGGTGAAACTACAAATCCCATAAAGCATCTCTCTCTGGGAGTCATGTCTGTGGCTGTGAGAATCTTGAAATGCCTCATGGGATTCGTAGTTCCACCACAGCTGGAGGGCCGGAGTTTGGCTACCCCTGATGTAGAGCTTCTGTATTTTTTTTCCCCCTGGAGATCATTTGTTCCATCTAGCAGCATACTATTTAGATGAAGGAACCTGCTTTTTTTGAGGCTATTTGTATAGCTCTGACATATTCAGTGGTGCTGTACAGGGAACACTATCATTCACATCAATCTCGGCACCAGATGAGCTTACACTCTAATGTTCCCACCACAGTCACGTATTATTATTTTTATTATTCATACCGCTCAGACATGTTCACTGAGTCAGTCACATCAGTCTCTGCACCAAAGAAGCTTTCCCTCTAAGGTCCCTGCCATGCACACAGACTAATATTTTCATACATTTACATAGCTCTGACATATGTAGTATGCAGTTCTGTAAAGTGAACACTGAGCCATTCACATCAGCCTTTGCACCAAAGGAGCTAATAGTTAACTTGAGCATCCAATTAACTTAACAGTATGTTTTTGGCTTGTGGATCACCTGGAGCTACCTAGTTAACATGAGGAGAATATACACAATGGGTGGGAAATGAACCAGGAACCTCACATTGTAAGACAGAGTGCTAACTACTTAATTAAAATGTCATTGAGAATAAGAATATTGGATGAATTTACCTTGGTGGGCAAGGCTGTTGGTTGCAAGGTTCCTGTTCTTGAGGATGAGGCAGGTGCTGGCATTGTATATCTGGTACAATTTTTTCCTCACTACTGCCCTGCTGACTGTCTTGAGTACAATAGAGAACACGTTGTAAAATTCCCCCTCCACAGGTCACACTACAGGATCCAGTCTTGTAGCGCCATCTATAAAGCAAAACAATGCGTTCATTGCCAGTTCAAAGTTCTCTCTAGGTAACTAACATTTCTATTTGTTAATAATATACTTTCAATCTGACCCTTGCCTTACCGGACAGGACAGGGCTCGGTGGTGCACGGTTTCATGAAGCCTGGATGAGGTAAGTGGCTGCACTTGGAGGGGGGTAGTCGGTATAAGATATCATTTTCTTTTCGGACACATGTCACAGAAAGTGGGATTATTCCTCCTCCGCAAGATAGTGGACACGGTGACAACTCCTCTACCTCCCAGCTGTGCAGACAAGTACACATTACATTTAACAGTGCAATAACACCTAGTCACATATGTGCACGAGTACTTGAAAAATAATTAGAATTTAGGACATAGTCAAATCTATCTATTATATTACTAATCATGTCTGTTCATGTCAGCAGGTTGCATCTCTTAAAAATAACATATTTATGATGGAAGAAGTTGTATGCATGTTCCTTGCTCATTCCTGAAGGAGACTATGGTTATGAGTATCTAGAAGGATGACAGATCTTTTATAAAGTTCAAAATGCAGAGTCCTATGTTTTATACACAACGGCAGATGATTTTATCAGATATCAGTCAGAATAGCTGAGGATTTTAGGAAAGCTTTCAGGGCACAGCATGGGCAAGCAAAGTAGCAGAAAGTAATATGTGCAAACTTGCATGATTTGTCTTAGTAGGCAATGTTGATGTGCAAATCTATAGCAAATAAAGTTTGCTTTCAGCAGGCTGGAGCAGTCTGAGCAATAAAAAATGACTGCAGATTGGTTGTCATGGGTTAACATTGGCCTTTACTAAAGTGGAAGTTAAAATAGAATCCATGTCCAACTGTCCAACTGATTTCACCAAGGCTAGAAGCTACAAATGTGGGTTGTGACTTACAGCGTTTGGTAAAAACTGGTACAGCAGCATAACCGAATACAAATATGTAAATTTGTCTGAACATTTATGATATAATTATATGTGGAGTGGGTACGGCAAAGACAGGGCAAATGGAGACTTGTAGTGCCTAAACAATATATAGGCAGTGCTATATATTTGAGCTTAGGTGCAAGCACACATTTAGATAAGCTATGTGGTTGGCACATTTGATGCTGCTTGTTTAGTTCTGCATGAGAACATAATTCCTTGCATCCCCACAGTGAACCAGCAGCTGGGGTTCCTTTGTTCGAGGTGTAAAGGTTCCCCAATTTGATTCCAGCACCGCTTGATAAGAGAGGGCTAATGCATACCTCTCTGATAGATTCTAACAGGTATGGATTGGGAGTGGGTACACTGAGTGTCAGAGGCAGGACAGACAGACAGGTTGATATATAAGCAGTGCTATATATTTGTGCAAAGTTGCAGGAACACATTAAAATAAGACACATATTGGGGCATATAGTTAATTGAAGCTCATTACAATGGCGGGCAGCTCTGCGGTCGGCATGGGCGCTGCTGCTTGTCTGGTTTCAGGGTATGGTTGCAGGACTTTTCAGGTGCTTCTTCTTTAGAATAAAACTGGACACAAATGTAATGTAGTTCCAAAGACCCTAAAAAGCCAAACATTATGATTAACACTGTTAACGCTTCTTGAGTTAGTAAACTGCATAGCAATATAAGCAAACAGATCCTAAAATATTATCTGGCCACACCAAACCTTAATTTTCTTTAACCTAGCAATTTTTTTTTTCTAGTTTGAATTGGCAAACAAGAAGACATGAAAAGTCATAGTCAGAGCAAGAATAAGCTGAAACACAAATACAAATAGTGGAAAATGTAGTTGTATATTTAAATATTTTATACCATATTAAACAGAGTTGCCCCATGACCTGCGGTTAAGGGTTTGAGATTTAGCTTACAGGTGAAAGGTACATTTTTGGAGACAGTTTAAGGGCTAGAATAAAGTGTTAGAAGTTGGGTGTTAAGGGGCAAATACTAACTGCAGATAAAAAGTTCTTTTAATTTTTTGTTGTAGATAGCGTGTTTAAGGGTTACAATTTGGGACAACTTTTTACTGCCTTTTTTGTTGTTGTTGGGGAAATCTCCCTTCACTTCCTGTTTATTGACAGCTGTCAGACAGAAAAGAAAGTTCAATGAAATCCCCCCAATGCGAGCACAGACAGCATTTAAATAATAAGACTAGGGAAGGGAGAAGCAGCACAAGGAGCCAATTAGTTGTGTTGCAGTGCAAGGGACATGCTGATAGGAGTAAACAGCAGAGGGACGAAGAAATGAGCTCATCAATCTGCTGCTTCTCCTTTCATTGTCCAGTCACAGGGTGGAATACTTCTAAGTGTAATTGATCAACAACAGAAATAAATGAGGCCTCCTGCCCTGCCAAACAGGGCTGCCTGCAGTTCAGCTTAAGCATAGTCATTGTTGTCAGACTGAATGGATATGATGTTTAAAGGAATTAAAGACAACATTATAACCCAGACTCACCAGTGCCACAAGTAACAGAACATTCACCCTGTATTGGGCTCCACACAAAGACTTGTGTGTCGTTCCAAAAGTGGGAGTCAATGAGAGGTAAATCTCCTTTTACTGAAGAAATGATCTGATGGGAAAGAAAATAAATCAGAATAAAAATGAAAAGACAAATGTACAATAGGTTTAGATTTCTTTTTCCCAAAAAAGGGGATATCAGAAAATGTATGAACGTTTAGTAACTTGGGGAGAAAATTGTCAAGGGCAAAAATATCAAGGACAATATCTTCCAGCAGACAACCTGTGCCTGTTGGCTTTTATACACCTTCCTGCCTCACAAAATTCATTCTGAATGCATTCTCCTCTGCCAGGAAAGCATGTTGCTGGACATCAGAGAAGAAACCAGAGCAGTCAACTGCTAATGCAGAATAATTTCTACAGGAAATGAGAGTTGGAAAGACAGGAGGGAAGGAACATTAATGAAGAAGGAAAACACTGGATTTAAAAAAAAAAAGAAAGATTGGTAATAACAGCACATACATATAAAAGTAGATTAAAGGAAATAAAGTTTTGGGGCAAATTGCTTTTTAGGGGAGAAATTCTCCACTGGAATCTGCTGGAAGACCAAGGCGCGTTGGGCCTTCTGAGTCCCCCAAAACACTCACTAGCTCCTATGGCCAACCTCTACATCAATACTGTGTCCTGTAGAGACATAGAGGTCAGTGGGAGGAATCAGTGAACACTCCAGCGACACAAGAAATCTACATTCCTGGAAGTGTCGGTTTGGAGTTTTGCTGAATTTAGGCTTTAAGCTTGTTTAGAGCCAATCTCCAAGATAAACCATTTTTAAACTTCCCTGTGACTCGCTTTCTCTCTAGATTACATATGATGACACAATATACTCACACTCTCCCAGCCAACAGGGCACACGCTGACCACACATGGAAGATGTTCTTGTGGCTTCTCCTGCCTTGAGCATTTAGAGACATCCACCATGACTTCCAAGCCAGACTGAGATTGTACGCAGGAGACTTTACGCCTTGCTGTGCCCGAGCCGCAGATTGCTAAGCAAGGACCGGTCTCTGATACCTTCCACCTGCACAGAAGAAAAACACTTATGTTAACTTGGAGTTTAGGAACGAGTTGGCCAAATGCTGCCCAGGTTTTTGTTGACTCCAACTATTCCTGTGTATTCAGTGAGCACAAAGAGAAAATGGAAAGCAGATTAATCGGTTTATAGCTTACCAGGTGGGTGCACATGAGTACATGAACATCAAAACCTATATATAGCATTTTTATATACAGTATCTGAAATTATATGTGGAACCCACAAGATACATCATAGTGACTTTATACAGTGTGACCCTACGGATGGTTACCACAGCAAAATGCTGGGGAATTTTGTTTGCCTGCTTTTAATGCATTGCATCTACTACTTGAACCCCATTTTTTGTTATGAATTGATTTGGATGCCTTCCATTTTTTGTCTTTTTGACTGGATGTGTGGCAAGGGTCAGTTGACTAAATATTTTGGCATTAAACGTTTTCCCTCTCTCCCATCTATGAAGGTTAAGGGGATGTTACACATTTGTATGTTTTCAAATATTAACTACTACTAGTGCTGCTTTCCATGTCATGGAGATACCTCGTTGGGCAGGGCTCTGTGTTACAGGAAACAAAGGCTTCCGGCCTAGAGGTGTGGGCACATTGCCAGTCCGGAATGACGGCCTCAGTGTCACGCAACTTTTGAACACACTGGACTGTCCTGCTCATAAGTCCCCCTCCACAGAAGACGGTACAAGCAGAGGTCTCCTTTATGTGCCACCTGAAGGAGAAAAAGAAAAACAGACAGAAGGGGATAGATGTAACAGAGGCATCAAAATCAGGATATGTGTATCCGAGGCGTCTGGCAGATTTTAATTTGCTGCATGTGTGTTCCAAGTCTATGCCTTCAAAATACTAAAAGCAGACATAGCAACTGACATTTTCAAAAGGTGGCCAACAGTAGCAGCTACCATCTTCTCTGTGGTGACAGGTGCACTTTAATGCAGACAGTTATGATAGAGGAAGGAGGGCAGTTAGTGCAGCAGCAAGCCATACCATACACATCAAACTATACAGAAAACTACACAAAGAGTGCACGACTTGTGTGGAACATACAGTGGCACTAGTAACTCAAGTAAACTAAATGAAGTTAAATATTGATATCTTTAATATGATTATAATCCAATGTCTGCTATTAAATCAACTATCTAAATATTGACCAAAGAAAACCAACACACCGCGGAGGGCAGGGGTCATCTCCACAAGGTTCCTGTGTTGGACCAAAAACCTCAGAAGAATTACAGAACTTGGATTGGGCTGCCATTTGAAGAATGTGGTCAAAGCATTCATAGACAACATTTCGAAATCCTGGAGGATGACAGCACAAATACAGAATATTAATGATGATGATACTGATGCCAATGCATGATGGTGACTATGTTATCTTTAAAAGCAAACACTACATTAGCTATATATAGCTGTATCTTTAAAGTGACATTAAAGTCTCCTTTTTTATTCTCCCAAAGCTGCTGTATGTACCTTATGTGATGCCTCTTTATGCGAGTATCTTCTTCCTACCACTCATTTCCAACAGTCCCTTCAGCGCTGGTGCTGCTCTCTGATCCAGCGCAGACTCCTATGCCACAGAGTTTGTCCAGCATGCATGCTGCTGGCTGCCTGCATTCACTTACATCTCTCCTCCTCTCCCCTCTGGTGATATCGACCACGCATGTGCCTGCACACACTTTCTCCTGCGTGGCCATTTGGGAAACTGGGTTCTACAGCCGGGAGCAAGCAGCGCAGACGCAGGTACGTTATTACCTATTTGCAAACTTTTTTCTTTTTTTAAATGTTTTTGCATATATGTACTGCTTGCTAAAAGGAAATATATGTAAAAAAAAGTGAGACTTTAATACCACTTTATTGTTTTTGCTTACTTTGTCTTAGCCTGACAAGGATCAGTGGTCACTTATAACCTGAGTTGCTGCCCAATCAACCTCATGACTTCATATGCTGTCTCATGACTTCTTAGAGTGCATTACAGCATTTAATAAGACAGCCCTGTAGTTGTTGTTATTCTTAACTACATAACTGTTGTGGCACTCAGAAGACAGTGTAAAAAAGTCCTGCTGAGCCAAAACTCAAGCAGTTTGTGGCCCTGTCGGCCCCCTTCAGTTCGTCAAAAGATCACTTTTAACTTTTATTAAAGTCGCTGTCCATGTACTGTATACTGACAGTGGTCAGAGCAGTAACTGTCAGAGTACAATAGCCAGTAGGGGAGATTCCCCACACCAAAAGCTGTTTAGCATGGATGGGGAAATCAAGGGTTCTTTCTCATTCAGCCCATTTGCAGAGTCATTACTCCTACAAAACCTGCACATTGTTTCTGTGCAAATAGAGGCAGAAACACTTTTTTTTTCCTTTCAAGTCAAATGTAATATCAGGAAAATACCTCATTTTGGCCACTAGATGGATGTGAGGAGCTTAGGAAATAAGCATTTATTTCTTATGCTCCTCAGGGCCCTTTAGTGGCCAAAGTATTTCCTATGCTCCTCAGCTCCATCTAGTGGCCAAAAGTATTTCCTATGCTCCTCAACACCATCTAGTGGCCATAATGTGGTATTTTCCTACTATTACATTCTACTAATATGCTAAGAATATACTAAGAACATTTGTTTTGCCTCTATTCACACAAAATAAACATTCATAGAGTTTGCCGGACAAATGGCTCTGCAAATTGCTTATAAATACCCCCCCATAGTGTATGGCCAGCTTTAGGCAGGTAACAAAGCAGCAATTGTGAAGTGTCAGATTTGGGCAAAGAAAGCAAAGCTAAATAATGATGGAGCTGAATGGAGCTGAATATAGTTATGTATTTTGTTTACATGTATTTTTACATAAGTATACTCAAAATAGTTCATATTTACCTAAATAAGAAAAAATATTTGTAATTTTCTATTTTTTTTTACTCCTGAACATAAACATTAATAAAGTAAATATACACAGTTATGTATTCCACTATAGACATTCAATTAAGAATGGAAGCCTTTGCTGATACATTCAATTGTTTCCTTCATTGTCAGCTTTCTATCTGGAAATAGGAAACATACATTTTGGGAATATTATGGAGGAAAAGGTCTCAATGGTCTCACCTCCCCCACAGCTGGCTGAACAGGGTGCGGGGACCGGAAGCCAAGCGTATGAATGATCCTTTTTGGCAATGTAATAGCTGTAGGTGATGTCCGGATTGGTGACCTCTCCATATTCTGGCCCGTATTTTCTGTACACCTTTCAAATAAGTAGACTTAATGGCTCAGGAAATTGAAGAAAAAATAAATAAAAATCTGAATGCTGAACACCATTTTGTACCTGTATCTCAATGTCGGAGGAGGTGGGTCCACCGATAAGGACTTCTTCCAGACCGGGTAGCTTGTTAGCAGTTAAAATCAATCTGTACTCCAGCTGCTTGTCCTCTATGACAGAGGGGTACGTGATGTTTAAAGAGATACTCCGCTTTCCAGCTACAATGTAGCCCGAGTTCTCTTTAATAGCTGGACAAAAACAGGAAAATCCATTAATTTTTTTTATAAATTCTTTATTTTCCAAACAGCACACATAAGATACAATCAAAAGCATAGAAGTATAGAGATAAATCGTAACTAACAATCCACATAATGGCATTCGCCAGGGCCACCGCCCCCATGGGGGTCTAGACATAAATCAACCTTGCGCTATTCAGCATCTATAAGAAAGCATAGTAATCCGTCCTCGGTGGGTCTCCCTGCCGCTGTGCCATATAAGCAAAGAGGTATCATTGTGGTTTGAAAGCGTAGAAGCACATATCTGGAGTCAATTGAGAATTCTAGGGCGGGACAGGACGGGATAGATCTAGGGCGAATACGAAGGACCAGGTAGAATCGGAGGGAGAAGGGAAGAGAAGGAAGAAAAAAAAGAAAAGAGAAAAAAGGGGGAAGGAGAGAATAGGGTGCCTCTGCAGTCTCAGTCCAGGAGGCTCAAATATTCCAGGGAGGACGAGAACTCGTCCCACTCAAACCAGGTGTAGCGAAATCGAGTCGCTGTTCCCTTTAGGGAACTGGTAAGGTCCTCCATCTGCCTGATGTCATTGATCTTGCCGAGCCATAGCTTAATAGTGGGAGGAGAGACCTGTTTCCACAAGGCCGGGATACATGCTCTGGCCGCATTAACGAGGTGGACCACCAAGGACCGTTTGTAGCTCCGCACCGAGCCGGCGGCCAGGTGGAGTAAAAAAAATGAAGGGACCTTGGGGACGTCGGTGATCGAGAACTTCTGAGTGATGGCGTGGACCTTGGACCAAAACTCCTGGAGTGATGGACAGGCCCAAAAAATGTGGAGCATGCCCGCAGGGGAGGAACCGCATCTCCAACAACAATCACTGGAGTCAGGGAATATCTTGTGCAGCCTACTGGGCGTACGGTACCATCGAGTAAGTATTTTATACCCCGATTCCTGATAGCGATTACTGATAGAGGACTTCAAGGATAGTTGCAAGATTCTCGAGGTGTCTTCAGGAGAGAAGGTAAGTGCCAGATCTCTCTCCCACGCCGCCATAAACGGCAAAGGGAGATCACAGTCCGGTGCTAGGAGTAATTGATAACATAGTGAAGGAAAATCCATTAATGACATATCTGTGATTGTTCCTGACTGGGTCTTCTCAGTCTCTTTTTTGTTTTCAGAGTGACATGATACAAAAGTAAAAATAAATAAAAGCAAGAAAACAGTCATATAAAATAGGATCTATCCTTCTAAACACATGGGGCAAGGTTAGAATGATATGACTATAGTTACAAGGGATTCTGGGATAGCGTGTACTTTCTTACCTAAGTGAGTAAACAGAGGCTTTTGATTAGTCACTCGCAGTGTCATGGCTCCGACAGGGACAGTAAGGAATGTGAAATACTCTGTAGCAATAGAAAATAAAAGAGATTACTTTGATATATAGATAAACAGATAGATAGATAGATAGATAGATAGATAGATAGATAGATAGATAGATAGATAGATAGATAGATAGATATGCAGACAGACAGAGAGACAGACGGATAGAGAGAGAGAGAAATAGATAGATAGATATGCAGACAGACAGAAGAGATGTAGCATTTTAAATTTTATTTTCAGCTAATTTGGATGTAGATTTTGCTATCCAAATGGACTGTTACTTACCCCCAGCTTTTCCTTCTGTAAATGAGCCACTAACTTTGCTGCACGTACTGTTGTCCCCACCACATACTCCACAGTGGTCCGCCGCCATCACAGAATCCATCACTCCATCACAGCCAAAGACCTGAGCGAGACACCTGCATTACACACAGGCAGATTTAAAGCCCCACTTCAACCAAAACCTTTTTTTTTTCTTTGGATAGGTTTTGAAAAAGTAAATACTTGTCAAGATATTAATGCTGTCCATGACCCCATTGAGGAGATTTCACCCCACTTCCTGTCCATCACATGACAGCATGCGACAGTTGCTCAAGAAAGGGGAGCAGTCGTCACGGGGCAGGAAGACACAGACAGTAATAATTACCTGACCGAGGTTCTAGCCGTTCCCCATTTTGCTTAAAAAATTGTGTGCAATCTGTGTCCCCACTAAAGACATTTATCATCACTTCCTTTACTGACCGGAAGTGAGGGGAAGACTCCCTAATGGGGACACAGACCACAAAAAACTTAATAGGGGTTTTATGCCTTCTATAACTATGTTATATTTTTACAGCAGTGACGTCCCTCTGCATATATTTTTACTGGAGTGACGCCACCCCCCACATATATTTTACAGGAGTGACATCACTGCAAATAACATTTATATTAAAGACTGACAATTCCGTTCTCCAATTATAAGTCCTGCTTTACATTAGTGATGTGACTGCCCTCCAGTTACTATTGATTTATACTGATATCATTAGATAAGATTCAGTAGTGACTGAAACGGTATTAAAAAAAGGAATTACCGTATATTTTTGTACCTTTCTTTTCTGGACTCACCTTGCATCGGCCGGCTACACAGATGTTAAACATGCCATTTGCCTCTGCGCTCTGCTCGCATCGGGTGCCGTCTGCGAAGCTGTCCCCTCGTCGCACCATGAAGTTATTTCCTTGTGCCTGACACAAATACTGGCAAAGCTCATCGCCTGGTTATCAAATACAAGAATACTGATGTCAGCTGTTTGTTCCCCATTGGGGACATTCACACTCTTTCATTGTTACCAAGACAGAAAATGACTGGAAATCCAAAATATAACAGTTGTTAACAGATCAGGAATACAGAGGAAATCATCCAATGGGGAATCTTGCTCCAGTGATAACTGTCTAAATGGGAATTTCCCCCTACTTTAGAAATATTCCCTGTTCCTGTTGTGCTTCCAGGACAGGACGTGAGGGTAAATCTCACTAATAGGATGCAAACAGCAAAAAAAACAAAAACAATTCCCCACTCTATTCAAAAAGCAAAACAAATGTTGGCTATAGATGCACTTTAAGACAATGTTCCTATTAGGGACACAAACAGCAATAAATACCTAACAGGGTCCCTATCCGTCCTTGATATATTAAAAACCTTAAAAAAAATTGAGTTGGAACTTCACTTTAAACTTGACACATCCTCTAAAATATCCCATGTATGCATCATCATTTCATGGTCAGGATGACATATTAGAAGAGTTTTTGCTACGCAGGATCTCAAATGAAGGTACTATATTTGAACATTTTAATTTGGACACAAAGAGGGCAATTTATCAAAACTGGAGCAGACAAAATCTGGAGCAGCTTCTCTCTTCAGTTTGTTCACTTAAGATTTGAAAAGGGAGAAGCTGATGGGTTTCAGTGCATAGCTGCTCCAGATTTGATAAATTCCCCTTAATGTGTGATGGCCGTTCTGCCTTTTTTTTTCAAATACCTTTTGGTCAGATGGGAATTAAAGACACACTTACCATGTGCAAAGGCAGCAGCTGATGTCCAGCGGTAGTGTGAAACTACCCCAGGGGACAGGGTGAGGGGCTTGTTGTCTGTAGCCGCACATTGTTCTGTCATAAAATCTAGTTGTGTGTTTCTGCAATCCTGGGAAAAACAAACCAACATTTTTTATATATACAGATAAATGACATAGAAGTAAGCCTGGCCTTACACTAATATTCATTTTTAGTCATTGACACCGAGCTGGATTTGACAAGGTAAAGATGGGATAAAACCAAAAAAGCATCAAGTGCAATGAAAGCCACAAGACTTTGGGGTTGATTTACTAACCTGATAAACACACCACGAACGTGTATACACCTCTGCAGTGTGTTCCATCCCAGCATGATCTATGGGTGGAATCTAAACACCTTTGTAATGTGTACACACCCAGCAGGTGTGTTGTGCAAAGCCCTGAAGGAATTCCAAGGTGATGTTGGGTAAATTAGCTCTATGTTGTGTTGCTTGCGTTGATGAATGCAAGGAATGTAAATGCATGAGCTAACCATTTTTATCTAAACTGTGAAGCAGCATTATATATGCATCATGTGCATGATTTTTCCATATATGGCATTAGTGGAAATATGCTTTTAGAGACTTTTTGGTTGATAAATACGTTTTGCTGTGTGAAAATCACACACACCTGGTGTGTGTGTGTGTTTAGGTTAGTAAATCACCCCCTTTGTGTCTATGTATGAAAAATTCACATAGCTTATTCGTCCAGCAAAACCGCACGCACATGTGTTCTGTGCACGTTAACCAGCTGTTGTGAGAATGGGCCAAAAGCAAATGTTTCTAGTGTAATTTCCCTTCTGCTCAAATGTTCTTAAAGTGGAAGTAAAGCTTCTTAAAAAACTGCATCTTGGATGGCTTTCTATGGCAGAAGAGACTGTGTAAGCACAGACCCGGCATGCTAAGATGAAGTAACCCCTGTGTGCATGCGCAGGAGTTGTCATTGGGGCCCTGCCAATCAACTGGTGAGGGAGAGGTGCATTTTTGGATAGGATCGGTTTGGCAGATACGTTTTCCATAAGTTTTCCATAATGTGCTAATATGCTGTGCAATCTAGCACATTATGGCTAACTCTAGGAGGGCCTGTTTTTTGTCTATAGCTTTATTTCCACTTAAATAGGTTAATTCATACAGAACAGAGTGAATGGGGAAAATTCAGCAACATTCTGCATTATGGTGCTCAGGATCATAGGAAATAAATACAATCCAAGAGAACGCTGGAGAGAAGGGGCATATAGCTGTAATCATTGCTATCCCCATAGTATCAATGGTTACATTTATATGCTCATTTCCCCCAGGGGTCTCTAAAATTGCAACATTGTATCTTACTAACATGTATTTATTTCCTATGATCCTCAGCTCCATCTAGTGGCCATAATGCAATATTTTCTCCATTCACTCTGTTCAATATGAATGGACCTATTAAGAACATTCGACCAAAAGAAAAATTACACAAAGAACATTTGTTTTTGCCCCATTGTCATTACAGCTGGTTGACTCGCATACAATGAATTTACATGCAGCTTCGTTGCATAATTAGGCCATGCAAATTTTTTCATAAAAAGACAAAAAAAGATATCCCTACGTGTGAGAGTAGGGGTCAGCAACCTGAAGATTGATATTCACATGTCTACAAAATTATTTGATATTTCTCATTAAAACATAACTGGAGTTTGTTAAATATTAAATAGTTTGTAGTGAAATTCCTATGTTTGAAAATGGCAGTGTTCACATTTATCTCCGCTTTTGGATCTACATATATTTGCAAAAGACAGGGACAAGGCGGGTCATCCTGAAACTCAGTGCACATTATTGCTGCATAAGAACATGTTATGTGTGTGCACCTGTTAATATAATTATAATGAATGAGTTTATGTTGCCATTAGCAGTACAACTATGAAAGCATAAATTAAAAATAAGCTATATGGCTATGTCACAGTATTGTCCTCTGGCATGCCAGATGTCTAATAGTTATAAATGGACACTTAATGTAGAAAAGTTTGCCGACCCCTGTACTAGATAATCTTTGCGTGATTCCATTTGGCCAAACAGCCATTAGGAGGAAAGTCATTCAAGTATGAACCAGCAGCAACAATGGAATGACAATGGATCCTAAAGCATATCTGGGAAAAAAACGATCTTGTGATGTATGGCTTTCCTAAAGAGCTAAAGCAGAGACTTACCTGCATTTTACACATTTTAGCCTGGAGATTGGCTCCTCTGCAGTCCCGACCACCAAAAGCTGGCCTGTGGAGGAAACAGAGCTAATTATAAAGGGCTTGTTTCATACTGGTGGTATGGATTAGCCAGTAAGAGACAGTTATACATTTCCTATGAATACATCTACCACATTTTCACATCATTTACAATAAAGAACCCTTTCTGCATGCAGGCATTAAAACTCGTCTTATAAGCCTCCTAGCTAAAATTAGTTTGCAGGATTCTTGTAATTGAAGAATGACAAATATGCAGTGGAGAAGATGCCATGTGGAGATGTATATAAAGTATAAACTGGGAAACCTGTCAGAAATGATAATGCCTTCTTCTGAAAATGTTAGTTTCCTACCTTTCCTGGCAATGCTAGGTGTCAGGCTACAATGCTTGAGTCAGTGCCACTAAGCATTTGTTTTACCTTGGATTGTTACATTGCCTTTTCCGCACAATCACTCCACCACCGCAGCTCCGGGAACAAGGCGAGAAGGAGCTCCAGCTGGACCAGACACCATGCACAGCCGCAACTGGATTCAGCTCCTCCAGGGATCTGCAGCGACCTTTGTGACACCACTGTGGAAAAGACACATTCCTTCATATCACTTGTTGATATAATTGATTCACACCATTCCATAAAATCTTGTTAACATTGAAAAGGTGACATTTTAGCTACAGCAAATTGGCAAGAGTGCCAACTGGTCCCCATAGAGAGAGAGAGGTATGTCTCAAAGCCCTGACTCTATTATAATTTATTCAGGTTTTAGCAATTATTATAATACATTATATGATTATTATAAATAATTATTACCAGGATAAATTATTAGGAATCAGAGGAGGATTGAGGTATTTGATCCCAGGCCAGTTCTAAGATTTGGTGGTCTAGTGGTCCTATACACACACACACACACACACAAACAAACATACTGTTCTTTTCTATATCGAGAATCCTTTTTCTGGCTGTGTTAGCTTTCAAAGACAGTAACCGGATTTGGAAAATATGTAGAATAAAATGAATGTGTATGTAGTTCAGAACCAACTATCTTGGTCCTGAATATTAGCATAGTATGTTTTTGTGATCAAATGAAATCAACAAGACCCCTTCTACTCCACCTTGTTCTGGCCGCACTCAGTGCCATCTAGAAGTGGGATGAAGAGTCGGCTGCAGCTGGTCAAATCTTCATGGCTGACGTGACAGGAGAGGACGCTGCACATGTCCTGCATAGAGCACCATACATTATATGACAAAAGCAATAATGGAACTCCACCAGAAATAGTACAATGTGATTTTAGATAAGGCTCTGTGGGTTAAAGTTCATACCCAAATATTCTTTAGCCCTGCAAGATCAGTTTTTGTTGTACAGGTACATTTTGTGCATCATTTACAGGACTGGACTTTATGAAGGTTGACTAATAGGAGCTTTTCAACACATAACTACACCACCAAAAATGTAAATGTCAATTTAAAGGGATTTTACTAGGACTTTGAAGGTATCTACTATAGCCAGCCACAAAACAGTAAGAAAGACAACAACTGGGCCAAGGACTAAATATTCAAGAGAAGAGTATCTGATAGATGTGGAAATGATAAAAAATCCTACCAGATCATTCCTGGAAAAGGTACAGGCCAGTGCTGAGCTCCCAAATGCGATTTGGCACTGCTCGTTGGCTCCATAATACAGACCAGGCTTTAGGCTTGGTATATTGTCCTCTAGTGCTGGTAAGTCGTTGATGCAGCTTGCTGCGCTACTGCTGTAGAGGGATCAAAGATAAGTCTTCTGATGTCACTGTAAAGCATTTACACACATACACAGGCTTATCCCCTAAAAGAGCAATGATGGTGCAAAAAAAATGCAGCAACTTATAGCAACCAGATATCAATTCAGTAGTGTCAGTGATTATTTGATTGCACTGAGTGATGGTACTTAGGAAGAAATAAGCAGAGAAGGTAGTCTGACTTTACTCTGACTTTCCTAATGTGCAAACTTATCTGGGCAAGTGACCAAGCCAGGTAACTAGCATTTTTTGGAGACCAGCAGAGGCAACCTCGATATTAGACTTCACAATGCAAAGATGATCAATTCACTTGCCTGACACGCAGACGGCGACTAGAGGGATTACTTTTGACTTTATGTAAGGTGTTAATAAAATCTGGTTTTATTTTATGTTTTAAGATGCTGTATCTATGGCACCTCCCTTCTTGTCCCGGTGACAACCATACTCAAGACAGGAAGTGAGGGTCAGTCTCCTGACATAATACTCTCCCACAGGAGACTCTGTCTCACATCGTTCTTTGTGTGATACCTGAGAAAATAAAGGAGCTGCTCACGGCTGCACTCCGACCATGTCAAATGGACGCTGTTATGGTTCCCCTCAGCTGCCATAACGTTTCCACTTCCTCTGCAGCTGTTTTCCGTCCCATCGTGATTTATTCCAAAACTGCAGGAGGAAAAATCAATTATGCCCAAATTGAAATGAAAGTCTGGTGATGAATTCAAAAACATATGTGATATTAATGATGAAATGAGAAGACTTCTGAAATCAGGCCACTGACATTGCTTGCCTGATCCCATATAGACATATTTTAGAATCATATAGAAATGATTGAAGAAACAATGACATTGCGTGTTGAAGTGTGGTGGGATGTATGTTATCAGGACAGAAAATTGTGGGAAATCCCAAATGTAACAGTTGTCAAGAGAACATGAGATGAGGGCAAACTTTTCAATGGGGACATCTTTTTTAGGGAGAGCTCTCCTAAGCTGACTATAACATTTCATTCAATTTCAACTACTTTTCATCCACCAGAAATCACAAATACCATCACAAATTACAGTAATTTCCAGAAAAGCAGCAATCTATCACCCAGGGCTGTTCCTATAATGAGACAGTCTGTGGTGGTTGCCTCAGGCGGCATCTCACTTGGGGGGTCAGTTGTTGGGTGGCGGCCAGAGTGTCCCAGGTTGCTAAGAGCTCTTAGCAACCTGTGATGCTCTGTCTGGCTTCCTGCCCAGCTCACTGACTTCACTGGTTGCCAAGAGCTGAAACACTCTGGCTGGCATCTTGCCCAGCTGCTGGCAACCAGTGACATCGGTGAGCTGAGAGGGATGCCAGACAGAGTTGCTGAACCCAGAATTAGCACCCCCTTGGTAACGAGGCATCCACTGCCAGCATCCAGCCCCCCCC